ACCTTTCTTTGTTCCATGAGGTGTTTGAGCAATGTACACTATCTTCTGCTTCTCGCTCCATTTCAACACATTATCTTCAGCAGCCTGAAGGCACAAATATCACAGTTCAAGCAATGTTGAGTCAACGGTTAGAGATTTGGCTCTACCATCCACTCCATATTCACTGATACTTAAATATACCTGTGTGCAGTGGGTCAGTGTGGGCAACATTGCAAACAATGAACCATGTTATCAAAATTTTTAATCATTTTTGCATCAATGTAATGAAGAATTGATTTGCCATGTAGATGTTTCCCTCAAAATAATTTCGTACGGACAACCTCGGTCTAACTGTGTAATGTTGCATTCAATAAGACCTGTTAAAGCTGCTGTATCACTAAGGAGAAAAGCCTGGAGTTCATGATCAACCATGTGGTAATGTTTGGTTAGTAGTTAACTTTAGTTAACTACAGAGAAATATCGGTATCGGCCTATATGTTGCTCGATGTGCACGGATTTAAAGAGCTTATTTTCAACAGAACATAATGCAGGAAAGATTATTGGAATAACTTAAAGTTACTATATTCCCAATGAATTTTACTGTTACAGCGGACTTATGTAATTTTTGACAATAGGGTTTGTTGTTAAACTGTAAAATACCCTGCCTCCACTACATACCTGTGTCACAAGTTTTTGATTATGTGATTTTGATGATGTATATATATACACACACAAGTTTTTGATTATGTGATTTTGATGATGTATATATATACACACACACACACACATATACATATATGTTTATCAAAAACTTGTGACACAGATATGTAGTGTGTGTGTGTGTATATATATATATATATACAGTACAGGCCAAAAGTTTGGACACACCTTCTCATTCAATGCATTTTCTTTATTTTCATGACTATTTACATTGTAGATTCTCACTGAAGGCATCAAAACTATGAATGAACACATGTGGAGTTATGTACTTAACAANTGAGAATCTACAATGTAAATAGTCATGAAAATAAAGAAAACGCATTGAATGAGAAGATGTGTCCAAACTTTTGGCCTGTACTGTATATATACACACACACACACACATATATATATATACATACACTACATATCTGTGTCACAAGTTTTTGCTATCCATATATATATATATGGTAGCAAGATATTTAGTGGAGGCAGGGTATTTTACAGTTTAACAACAAACCTCATTGTAAAAAATTACATCAGTCCGCTGTAACAGTAAATTTCATTGGGAATACAATAATTTTAAGTTATTCCAATCATCTTTTCTGCATTATGTTCTTTTGAAAATAAGCTCTTCAAATCCGTGCACATCTGACAACATATAAGCCGATACCGATATTCCTCTGTAGTTAACTAAAGTTAAAGGGGCAAAAAGCGAAATCGTTTTTGCCGCTACGTTTGCTGTTGTGCATTGCAATGCCTAAGTATGACCATGCTTTAATTCTTGGTGACATGAATATACACGTGTGTTGTCCCTCCAAGACCCCGGCTAGTGAATTTTTAAATCTCATTGGTTCATTTGATCTTGTGCAGTCTGTGTCTGGTCCCACACAAGAGCACGGGCACACGCTTGACATTGCCCTATCATATGGTTTACCAGTTTCCAACATTGAAGTTTGTGGTGCATTCTTTTCTGACCATATGCCTGTTTTGTTCGATGTGTCTCTCCCATGTTACACTGACAAACAAATCGCACCAGCTTGTCGATGCTGTATGCTTAACCCTTCCACTGCCGTTCGGTTCTCGTCTGCGTTTACCAACGTTACAGTAGACCTACTAAGCCAGTGTCAGAAATTAGCTAGGGCCACGGGCCATTTGGCCCGCAATTTATCCAAGAATGCCCCCAAAAGCCATGTTCCGGGGGCCAAAATTGCCCCCAAATTTTCAAAACAACTATATGTATTTATATTTTTAACAGTATTACAATCTGACATTAAAGAATAATTTTATTTTCATTAAATTAATTTACCGTCACGTCTACAACTCATTTTCCAGACATAATCAATGAGACTGCACTGATTACGTGAGAGTAATCTGACAGAGAAGGGGAGGGCGCTTTGCTGTACCATAAGTATAAATTAACCATTTCTTGGGTGATCTGTGTCTACACAATGACAAATTAATGAAAAATTAAGGTAGAATGAATGTTAAATTTTAAATTAACTTATTTCCAGGAGTGCACCTAAGGAATTTATAGTAATTTGGCCTTTTTAACAGTAAAAGTAACTGTAATGTGGTGAAACATTAGTACTGCTATCAGTAGATTAATGGTTAAATCATCACATTTAAACTGGTTGAATTATAGGAAATCTGAGTGATATTTTGCAACCATAACTTTATGTAACCCATTATTTATTTCATTTATAGTGGTTTCTACTTAAGAGTGAAGACACTATCTTAGTTGGTTTTGCTTTTCATGTGCTTATTGTTAGAACATAATTACAATTTTTTGATGGCCCCCAAACATTTTGAAAATGCCCCCATTTTTTAGACCGTGGGGGCCAAAATTGCCCCCAAAATATT